TAACGTAAAATAATTCAAAGGTATATAGCCACTTGGCAGGGTAACCCCCCTGCGTGACCCTAACTAGGGTGGTTATTGTAATAGTGTTGCTAACGCATAGACTAAAAAGTAGGTTTTGGACGCTGCCAACGCAACAGACTGTATGCGCGGCTGTGGCGCGGACACTCGTATGTGCAGTTTTCAGCCGAACGCTAGCGGCCCATGTGAGCTCGCCGCAGTCGGAGGTGCGTCAAGTGCAATTTCGTCTAAGCCCGCGCGCTTTTCCACCGCAGTGGCCGTGTGATAACCTGCGATCGATAGTCGAGATGGGGTTTGCTTGATTCCATAGCATGAGCAGGGGGGTGGGGGGAACTTGTGTGTTTTTCCATCATAAAGGCCACGGGCCCCCGTCTGCTGCCTGGCGGGTGGGCGGCTGGAGATCCCTGTCGAAGGGTCTAGAAACCACCGAGCCTGAGAGCCAATCTCCAATGTCCGAATGGCTTCAAGGGTGGCAAGGCAGCAGCAGCCACCCACACCCGGGGGGAGGCTTTGGTACGGATGAGACGAGACAAATATAAATATCGTGCTGGCTGGCTGCGGTTAAGGGAGTTCTTGATGAGGTATTCCAGGAAGATATCAAGAGTTTGAGTTGCTTTTAGAACCACTAGGGGTTTTCTCTCCACACCATATCGGAACTCGGGACGCTCAAAAACACCAAGGAATCCTCGCACGATTCCAAGTCTCGGAACTCGCATTGTCCTCACAACGGACATTTTGTTGAACCTACTAGCCCCCTCGCCTCAAAAAATAAACAAAAAAAGAAAAGAAATGGTATCCTGCTTCAACGACGAAACGCGCGCCCGCGGCACGCCGAAAGGCTTCTACACGGCGCCACCCCCGCCGTCGTCCGCCCCACAACCGGCGTCGTACAACACGGCCGCCCGTTCCGGCCCGCCGGGCAAGGCCGACATCCTCGCGCGCCAGCTTGCCGCGCTGCCCCTCATTGCGCTCCTCTACACCGCCGCCGTTCCCTTCACGCCGGCTGCCTGGCTCCTGCACGTCGGTGGGAGCTCCCTCTTCGACCGCCTCTTCGCGGGGATCGTCGTACTCGCGGCGTGCTACTTCCAGTGGCGCGTCGCGGGACTCACGGCACCCCTCGCCGTCTTCCTCCCGGGGGTGGACGGCGGCAGCTCGACGGTCAGGAACGGGCGGCTCGAGCAGGCACCGGGCCCCGGGTTCGTCTGGCAACCCGACCACTACTGGCCGTACGCGATCTGCGAGACGGCGCTCCTGTGCATCGCCGAGTTCGGCGGCAATGAGCTGCTGAGGCGGTGCATCGTCTGCGGCGTCCTCGGTGGGCTGTGGCTCGTCGGGTACCACGCGACGCCGGAATCTACGAGGCGCTGGGCCTATGAGAACATCAAGGGCTGGCTGTTCTGGATGGTGCTGGACGAGATGATGCGTGTCGGAGGAAGGAGCTACAACGCACGGCGTCGCAGATGAGTACTGGTGCCAGGTGCAACTGAAGCTGGCATCGGGAAATGCCCCTTTGGATGTGAGCTGTCTTGAGACTAGCCATCATGTTCGTAGAGACCAACCGCCCCGGCTAAAATCCAGCAAGAAAGTTGCACCGTCACGGCATTTTGCACACACAAGCTGAGCTCGGTATCTGGGTGTGAAGCAAATGGCATTCGTGTATATAAGCGCCAACCCGTATGAATCATCATTGAATATCCGGCGACTCGGCATTTTCGTTAGCTTCATGGATCTGGAGCTGCTGGAGCCTTTGGAGCAGGTTCTCCGCCTGCGCTGCGGAGGGATCCGTCATGGCCAAGTCCAAATCCACAACCCAGGAGACGGCCACCCGGTCGGAGACCTCGTGATACCTGCCACGGAGCTCGAGATCCCTCCTGATGTCTCTCGCCCGAGAGATTTCCATGACGCCCCTCTCCAGGGCCATGGACAGCAGGCTCAGCGTGATACCTTTGGCCAGCCGGAAGCTGGTGTAGAGCGTCTGGAAGCAAGCCATGCAGAGGAGGAAGTAGAAGCGCCATTCCGGCCCGTGCACAGAAACCTTGGCCTCGGAGAGCATCGCGTTGGCGAGATAGAGGAGCGCCGAGTGCCAACAGAAGCAGTACGAAGACTCTGGGTACTTCTGCCGATAGAGCAGCACTATTCTCTTCAGCTGGTTCACAGACGCCGCGTAGACGGCATCCGGGGTAGCTTCTGCAGATCGGAAGGCAGGGAGCCTCTGTCGAGGGGCGCCATTTTGCTGGAGGAGAGGCCGGTATAGATCGATGATGACCACGTGATAGTAGATACTAGATATCTCGTTAGTTGTGCATTCCGAGGTCCCTTTTTAACTGTCACTGAGCTCTAGAACGTACTGCGAAATCATGACATGATGTGAACATTGGTCACCCTGAGCCATCTCCAGTGGTAATTCATCTGCCCACACCAAAAGCCGCTGGTACGTTTCCCCGGCAAAGGCTAATGTTGCGGCTTCAGCACAAGGCGTCTCTTCTGACCCATACATGACTTGGACCATATCATGAACTATCAAGAAGAGGCGACATTGCTCTCTCAGTAAGTTGGCATTTTGCATCCCTATGTTGCGTTCTTTTGTCAGGCCTGTGTCTTGTGTGATATGTGGCCTACGTTCTGGAAGGGGGGCGCGTGGTGGGTGTTCGATCAAGCGCTGGTGAAGGTGCAGTGAGAAGAAGCTTTTGAGGAAACCGTTAGCTTACACACCTCGGCGTCATAAAGAAAAGGAAGAAGGAAGAAGGGGGGAGGGGTGCATTGACGTCACTATTCCCATCATCATGGGGGGGAAGAGGAAGAAGAAGAAGAAGGGAAAAGAGAAAACATCAAGGAATGGTGCAAAATGAAAAGGGAGAAACGGAGTGATGTCCTGGGTCGGCCAGTTCAAGGTTGACGTACGTGAGACAAGTGAAAAGCACCCAGGCTATCTGGGCCTTTGCTCGCTGATGGTTTACACTGTCGTTAGCATTGGACTCCTCCATCCGAGAAGGGTCGATGTTGAAAAGGCCAAGCCTCTGGGACATCTCGAGCAGATCGCCGAGGAACTCGAGGTATTCCGCCCCAGCGCCGAAAGAGACTGCGGTGATGAACAAGTAATACACCGCAGCCACAGTACAGACGTGGTCTGTAGCTCGCGCGTCCTTTGTTCCTTTCCACAATCCCTTTGCTTCTTTGTAAAAAGTCTGGCCTGTGAGTGGGGCGTTCGGCTCGACAACCGCGTATCCCTGCTGCGTAGCGGTGAGACTAGACATAAAATCCGGCTGCTCTCTGGGCAGCATTGTTCGTTTGGCGAGCACTTACGCAAGCCCAGGCGAATAGGGCATTGACGAGGATGCGGGAGCAAAATTCATTCTCGCCGAGCAGCCCGTCCAAGAGTAGGTCTGTGTCAATCAAGGGCATCAACGGGTAGTCGGTCTCGAGGTGGAGCTGCAGGACTGCAATAAAGAAATTGTTGGTGATGGGCACATCAGTCCATCGGCTAATGTCGATACTCAGCAACCTGTTGTCGTACAGTGCCGACGGCTCGGGTGGCACAATTGGACTTGCCCCGTCCAGGCTTGGCTCTCGGCGTCGATGGCCGTAGGGCGGTAAATTAGATTGCTGATCGGATGAGCCTATAACGCTAGATCAGGGGTTGAACGGTCAGTTAGGGATCTTGTTAGGAGGCAACGGTAGTGATGGGCACAAAACGGGGTTTCTCAGCAGGGTCAAGGCAGTCCAAGCCCATCTGAGCTTCGACATCTACAAAACCCAACTCACAGGGCCGGGCCGGTTCCTTCCCAACGAACCCTACTCGGACGCAGCAGGAACTCCAGATCGAGTTTGGTCGGCTGGACAGGTGCCCAAGCGGGATAGGCAAGGGGGTGTCTCATCATCAACTCGAATTCCAAGGATGACTGGGTGGGTGGTAGGATGGCTCTGTTCAGGGCAACTTGCGACAGGCCGACGTCGTAACTCCGCAAGGCAGAGACGGCCTCGGCTGGTTCGTCGCCAGTTCTCGGAAATCTTAGGGCCTCCAATGCCACGTCATCAGGCATGCGCTTCAGGATTTCGAGCAGGTCTGCGGCATCGGAATTGCCCAGGGCCTCCTCCTTGTCGACGAGTTGGCTTCCGGGGGGGATGGCTTTCAGGACGGTATCGGTGATGACTCTGTATTCGCACTTGAGCCCGCGGCGCAGGCATTGTGAACATTGGGGCTGGCCGTCACACTTCGGGGAGCTCATCGTCAGTGGGGTGTGATCTGTGCTCACTACGGTTGCGCACCACTGTACATGGGTGTTGGAGGGGTTGCAGCTGTTTGAGTGCGAGGGAAGAGGGGGTGCTTCGGGCTTGCTTACGGCATTCTTTTTTTCCCTGCAAAAGTTGCATGCTTTAGGTGTGTAGGGTCGTCGTCTTTTACGCCTCTTGGAGCTACCCTCATCGCCATTCGTGGCCTCTAGTTCGCGAGGGGACGGCTGGGCAAGCCGGGGAAGAAGCGGTCGATTTCGTTGACTGTCTAGCGGCATTCGAAGACGAGGATGATGTGTTGTTGGGTCGTCGGTTTGGCTTGAGTAGCTGATTTATGTATTGTGTGCACTTGCCGGTGGGGAAGGAGGGTCCTTGCCGGAGTGCACTCCTGCCTATCGCCACATTTTAGGTAGGTAGTTTGGGAGTCTAGACCGTCCATGCGGACTTGAGGCTCCGTGCTCCACGGTCCCCTTAGCTACATATCGACGTTTTGAAAATATATCAAGCAGATATGTGATTGTACGGTGTGTGTAATTATACCACGTAACCATTCTCGTTACCTGGCGGGGGAAGGAGGTAGGGGTAGGTATCTACCTTTGACTACCCTTACCTAGGTAGGTAGGTATCTATGTACCTTAGCATGCTAGTGCAGGTACCATTGCTCCCCACGACAGCCGAAAGACCCACCCGTCCCTATCTCCCATGCGCTTCCCCCGCCTTGGTGAACCTACCTTCCCTACCTACTTAGTTTAGGTAAGTACTGGTGGTAGGTAGTTATCGGTCGATTGTTTCCCTTCTCATTTCACTCAACTACCTACCTAATTGGCACGCCTATCTATCTATAATCATCGCTCGGGACAGCAGAGTCGGCGTCGTCGTCCTGTGTCCGTCTGTCTGTCTGTCTGTCGGTCTTTCTGACCAACTAACCAAGTGTATTGGCTACGGGAAGGGAAGGAAGGTTATACCAATTGAACCGGGTTTGACGAGGACCCTACCGCGCCTGCATATGTTTGCTGATCGACGCGTCCAAGCGGGCATGGCCGATTTCCTGAAGGAGCAGGTGTCATCGCACAAACTCGCCCAGGACCAGATTGCGCAGTCCTGGCAACCATCGAGACGTCCAGCAGCAGCACGGAGGGAGATAAAGGGAATAATCCGTCATGAAGCGCAAGAAAGCAGGTCCGTAGCATCCTCGTGCTCGCGTCACGTCTGCTCTGCTGCACGCATACTTATCCATCCCCAGCCTGCGCCGTCGCCGCCCTTCCCTCTCTCTTGTCCTCTTGGTGATACTCGCCAGCTGCTGTCTGTGGCGTGTTTGGATATCAGCGACCAGCTACCACATCCTCGTTGCCGATATGCAGCTTCGAGAGGGGAACAATGCTTTCCTGGCCTTCCTGGCCGCCGCCTTCACGGCCCTCGCAGTCGGTCCAGCAGCCGCCGACTCGTGCAATCCCTTCACGCCCTTCGTGCCGATTGATCCCCAGAGCTGGACCAACCCCGACAACATGACCTGGGATGAATGGGTGAAGCCACCAGGCACCAATTGGTCGGATCCAACCCGCAAGGGTTCTGTCCGCAACTTCAACATCGCCCTTGTTGTTGTCGACTATCCAGACAGACCCTTCATCGTCACCCAGCCAGCGCACTCGACCATCTTCAGTAATCCCCAGCCTGCTGGTGCCGATGTCGCCCGGGAAGATGTGCCCATTTTCTACCGCGATCTTCTCAATACGCCCAACGACCTGAACCGGGGCCACACTCTTCACGAGTACTGGATGGAGGACTCGGTCGGTCGCTTCGGCGTCGATCTGACGGCTTTCGGCGCTTATCGCCTGTCCGGCAACGGATACCAATATGGCATCGACAACGGCTTCAACCCTGGTGCATGCCCGGAGGGGGAGAGGTGCGGTCTGAACATCCGCACCGATGCCCTTGCGGCATGGCGCGCTGACGTGGGTAACGCGACGGCCGATGCCTTCGAGCTAGTCTTCATCCTCTCCGCTGGCCAGGACGAGTCCTCTACGTGGCAAGAGTTTGGCGAGATTAAGTTTGACGGTCCTGACGATGTTCCGGACGAGTTTGGCCCTCCGAAATCCCGGAACAGCTCGCTACCCAACTACGCGCGCACGCGCTATGTGCCTTGGACTTCGTGGGCGGCCGCTTCCACCCTTTGGCCCAACGCTGGTGGCGGCTCCTCCACACAGGGCGAAAGCTCGGGCATGGCCGTCTACGCTCACGAGCTGAGCCACTTGCTGGACATTGGCGACAACTACAATAACCCTTACGGCCTCCCGTTGCGCAGGTCCTACACCGGCCCTTGGTCTATGATGTCGCGCGGCTCCTTCAACGGACCCGGCGGCCCGCATTCACGCTGGCAGGTCCCGGCGCTGCAGGGCTCCTCGATGGGATCGCTACACACCCTGCGCGACAAGTTTCAGCTTGGATTGATCAATAAGACAGACATACTCTGGCTGTCTCGTGAGGCTTTGGCTACTTCCGGAATCGCCGTGGCCAATCTCGTGGCCCGCTCCGTCGACCCAGGCGACGGCTTGATGGGTGTCCGCGTCATCATGGATGCCGACCGATCCCCGACGTGCAACGCCACGACAGAGGTCATGTGTGACGGCGGCGGCTGGAACAACTACGACATCGAAGTCGTCGACCGCATGGGTTCCGACTCGTTCCAGCCCGACTCTGGCGTCTTGATCAGCAAATCTAAGAACGTCGATAATCAGCCCTTCCAGTGGGTCATTGACGCCAACCCCCAGGACATTGAGCTTGTCGACTTCTACCGCCCCAACGGTTCTGTCGCCATGGTCACCCTGGGCGACTACCGCCAGCTTGCCGATGCCCTCTTTCACGCGGGGCCAAACTCGGGCAGCGAGTTCGAGTTCGTCGACAAGCCCAACAGCCTGCACTTCTACATCATTGACCGCCACCGCGATGACGAAGGGGTCCTTTCGTACACAGTCGCTGTCAGATCACTCGAGGGCGAGGGCGGCGCAAGCATCCATGACGTGTCTATGGGAGACGGGGCTGTGACTGACCTCAAGACCAACGCGCCCACCGGCCAAGGAGTGACGTGCTCTTTTCAGCTCACCAACAGCGGCTCCAACGTCATCGTCGACCCGGACGTGGCTCAGCACCCCGAGGATGTGACGGCCTTCTTGGACTCAGACGTCTACAGGCTGAGCGCCGAGGTCGAGGGCGCCGGCTGGCGCGTGGAGCTGCCCAACGCCCTCGTCGCGGCCAAGTTTGGCGAGATCAGAACGGCCAGGGTTTCCGTCGGGGCTGCATCAGACGCTGTGGACTCGGCCGTGGTGACGTTAAAGGCGACGTCCGAGTCCGATCCATCTGTAGTTGCTTCTGCTCAGTGCCAAGTGACCAAGTCATGATGACTTATCAGGCTCCTTTCTCAATGAAACAAACATATTCTCTGCAGTGATAGAAATGCATACATACATAGTTCGCCATCTGATGCACTGGACATGGTCTATAATTTCTCCCGCCGTCCTTTATCGATCACTTCATCTGTCCCTGCTTACTGCATGTACCGCGAGCATGCACGGTTCGGTGCGGTGGCTGCCGTGATATTGCAGTCCCGCAGCGGGGCTCTTAGGGTTAATGGATCCATCCCACGTCGCCGCTACCAACAATCAATCACGACCAAATCGCCCAGATCGTCTAGTTGGTTAGGATGATACGTTGTGGTTCTTCTATACAGCGATCCGTGTTGACGGCGGTTCGAATCCGCCTCTGGGCATTGAGTCTTTTGTCGTGGTTGTATGAGGTCCTTCTTTTTAATCCTATTTATTATTGATCGAGCATGTCTCCGGTGATGTACTTCCAAGACTGCTGCTCTCGTTTTATTTTTCTGATTTACAGTCTGTACTCAACTTGCCGAATTTACTTACATAATGAGTATTAGAGTTCACCGGTAAATGGTGATTGATTGGCGACTGGGCACCAGCCGACTAGGTCCTTGAATCTTGATCTCTCTTTAATGATCTCATCGACCGCCGACGACCGGCAGCAATTCCCCGTGAGCCCAAACTGACCATTGAGAAGCCGATTGTTGGTGTTGCGTCGGCCACGCATGACGTGCTCGTCCTCCAGGTCGCGTCATTTGCGCCCGGCCGCATCCCGGCGCCGGTAACGGGGGGTCTCGCATGCGATCCTCCGGGAATCAACTGCCACCACCCCGCCCTAGAACGCTCTCTCACGCTCCAAAGCACCAACCGGCCTTGGCCGATTCTCTGGCAAAACGGTCATACATGAGGACCACCACAATGGCACCAAGCGGCGTAAGCTTCACCGCGATCCCCACCATCGACCTCTCCCTCGCTGACGACCCCGCGTCGGAGGCCGGGCTTCTCGAGCGGCTCCGCCACGCGCTCGTCCACATCGGCTTCCTCTACGTCGTGAAGCACGGCGTCCGCGAGGAGACCGTCTCGGCCGTCGTCGGGGCCCTGCCGAGGCTGTTCGCGCTGCCGATGGCGGCGAAACAAGAGATCGCGCTAGAGAACTCCCCGCACTTCCTGGGATACAGCGGAGACGGCGCGGAGACGACGGCGGGGGCGGTCGACCGCAGGGAGCAGGTCGAGTTCGCGACGGAGCTCGCGGACGGGTGGCGGCAGGGGCTGCCGTTGCGGGAGCGCCTGAGGGGCCCGAACCAGGTCAGATTTGCCATCACGCCCCCTTCCTTCCCCCCTTTGACGTCCGACAACAACCATCTCATTCATCGTAGTGGCCATCAGCGTACCCGAGTCTCCGCCCGATCGTCGAGGCATATATCTCGGAGATGACGCTTCTGGGCGAGCGCTTTCTCCGCCTGGTGGCGAAGGCGCTCTCGCTCCCGCCCGAGGCCTTCCTCCCTTTCCTCTCGGACCAGCACCGCCTCAAGCTCGTGCGCTACCCCGCGCTACCCCCTCATCGCGATACGGCGGGCGGCGGCGGCGGCCAGGGCGTCGGCCCGCACAAGGACTCGTCGGGCTGGTGGACGTTCCTGCTGCAGGCCTCCCCCCCGCACGTCGGGGGGCTGCAGGCCCTCAACGGGGACGGCGCGTGGGTCGACGTGCCCGCGCTGCCGGGCTCGTTCGTCGTCAACATCGGGCAGGCGTTAGAGGTGGTGACGGGCGGGGTGTGCAGGGCCACGACGCACCGCGTGCTCTCCGGCCCGCTGGAGCGGTTCAGCGTCCCGTTCTTCCAGGGCGTGAGGCGGGACCTGACAAAAGACGAAGCGACGGGCTCGCTGGGGGGGCACTTCAGCCGGCCCGAGATCTGGGGGCTGGCCGCGGCGGCGGCGGAGTCGGCCGAGGGGAGGGGCGTGGACTCGGCCTTTCTCCAGGGGAAGTATGACACCTGGGGCGAGAGCCAGCTCAGGACGAAGATCAGGAGCCACAGGGACGTGGGGAGGAAGTTTTATCCCGAGGTGTTTGATCAGTATGTCAAAGACGATCAGTAGCCTGTTGAATCCCGCGCCGCGAAAAGCTTTCCCGGACGAGGAGCGTGCTGTGTCGTGTGCCTGTTGGTGCCTTTCTTTACTGGTTTAGAATATGTGCGCAGAGACAAGTCAAATCAATAAATACCTTGATACTAGAGATACACGTGTTCCAGGCGATGCACCGGTACGGGAGATTGCTCTAACATAATGAGGATTTCCCAATATAAACCTAGCCAACATTTTTCAGGTCTGCTTAATTCTCGTAGCCTTTTGCAATACAACTTGTATTATTGGCACGGTTTCTTGGTCGGATCCAATATTAACCTACCCAGCTGCCGGTCACACAACTGTCTCTTCAAGCTATTGGGGTATTTATTCTACCTACTTGCTAAAGTGTTCAGCGTTTTTGAAAAAAAAAAAAAGATTTTAGTAAGCCCCGTGTTGGCAAGTGACAATTGAGGCAGCCTGTGACAGGATGCTTAAACTAACACAGTCCCTAATCAGGACAATCTGGGTCGGGGTAGGTCTGGTTGATCTCCTTCGCTAGCAAGTGTTCGTTATACCACTATAATATTTACATATCATTATCAACTTTTGATCGCAACGTTAATGAACCAATGGCGGATGTCCTGGGTTTCACCAAACCTGGGGCCTCCAATTCGGCGTCAAATGCCGAGCTCGCGTGATCCCTTTAACCCAAGTCTGGAGCATGGCCGTGAAATGCCGGTTTATCTGCAAGATGGTGGCCTCATCGAGAGAGCTATACTAGATGGCCCAGGGTTTCAAAGACAGTGGCGAGATCTTCGTGGAAGAAGAGTATCTTGAGGAGCTACACCTCGGCCCCACAGGGACTTCAAAGATACTAGGATCAGGAGGTTTACCCAACCGTTTTTTTGTATTTGTAAAAGAAAAAGGAAATTCACGAGGAAACCCGGGCGTCGTGAAATGTTCTCAGCGGACAGCTACAATGATAGGGTCATGTCATGACAGGTTCATAAAAGCAGCCCGAACTCCTTGCGCGTAATCCGCCACCGCTACAACGCTACAGACAGTAAAAGGCAAGTCCCAAGTGACCCACGCAAGATAATATGATTAGTGCTCACGTTCATGTAAGGGTATATGGAAACGGAAATTGAGCGGGCTTCAAGATTTGCCACCTTATACATTTCAATATTCCTTACCACATTTTAGTCATGATATTCCCATTTGATCACCAAGGTAAGACAGATGGAGACATTCTTCCTACCACATGTCGGCGACTGACCGACTGGCACGCACCTATTGACCGTGTCCCAAAACTTGTGGCAGATTAACCCGTGGTTGTTCAAGTGGCCTACGGCCAAGCTACTGCACTGTCTAGGGTTGCTGACAGGGGCCGTAAGGTTGTTATTACCATTTACCCTATAAGACACATGTACGGTGAACCGCTCGTGCATTAGTTTGGTGGCTACGGACGGATGGCTACTTATCGCAAAGCTCTACGCCCGAATTTTAAAAGCCACCATACTCTCTTAAGTCGTATATTCAAGTTTGCTCTGCTTCTCTCCACGCAGTTTCGTTCCTGCCGACGACAGAGTTATGAACTTTCTTCCAAACTTCAAAGTTGCGGCTGTGTTGACACTCATCTCAAGCCAATGCCGACTGTCTGTTGCTGCTCCTGCAACTGCCAGATTTGCGGCACGCAATGCGACGGATCTCCAGAGCTCCTATGATTATATCATTGTCGGCGGAGGTTTGAGTGGCTTAGTCGTGGCAAACCGTCTGACTGAAGATCCCGAAAATACAACAGCGCCTATTTCCCCGTCACATGCCCCATGCTAACTCTCTACAGCCACCGTCTTGGTTGTGGAATATGGGGATTTTGATGATTCGTGGGATGTGGCCATTCCTTACTACTCCGCCAATGCCCACCCCAATGACATGATTCGCTTCACGTCTATCCCGCAACCTGGTCTCAACAACAGAACTTCCAGCGTCGCGACCGGTACGGTTGTGGGAGGTGGATCTACCGTCAACGGCATGGCTTTTGATCGTGGATCCAAGGCCGACTATGATGCGTGGGAGGAGCTGGGGAGCCCAGGTTGGAATTGGGAAAGCCTGTTCCACTACTTCAAGAAGGTATTGTGGTCTCTGGCTTCTATTTCACAATACGCACCTTCAATAGCTGATGACATGACCATAGTCCACTACATTTACCCTCCCTGCTCCGGAATACGTCCAGAAATATAATTACAGCTACGATGAGAGCACATATGGCAACGGACCCGTTCAAGTCGGCTTCCCTTCATGGCAATGGCCTGACAGAGGTAAAAGTTCCAAAGTGTGGTCTACGCGTAGTTTGGAGGAAAAGTCGGAGCTGACCAATTCCAGATATGCAGAGGGAGGCATGGATTAAAGACCTTGGGGTCTCTGTGCTCGATGATCATGGTGCTGGCGGTAACAACGTTGGCTTGGCGCTGTTGCCCCAGAACCATGACCCTGAGAATGTTACCCGTTCTACATCGAGAACCGCATACTACGATCCCGTTGCAGTTACTCGTCAAAATCTCAATTTGCTCATCAAGCACTACGCCTCGAAGGTTGAGTTCGAGAACAAGAAAGCCGTCGGTGTCAACATCATTTCTCGTGATACCAATGCCACGACCCTGCTCAAGGCAAACAAGGAGGTTGTCCTCGCCGCTGGAGGCGTACAAACGCCAAGGATTCTCCTCCAAAGTGGTGTCGGGCCGGCATCGCTTCTCGAGTCTCTCGACATCGACGTAGTGGCAGATCTCCCCGGAGTTGGCGCCAATTATCAGGATCACCCTTGGATGACGTTTTCTTATACATGTAGGTCCATTTCCAACATTGTTTTCCATTCTTTGGAAGGCCTGCCACTGACCTCTTCAAGTCGGCAACCCCCCTGAACTCGGCGATCAGGCCATGAACGATCCCGCCTTCTTTAACGCATCAGAGGCCGAGTACTTTGCCAACCGAACCGGTCCGTTCACCCATGCTCGTGGTAACAACATTGTCTTCATGTCACTCCAAGACATCACGCCTGAGCACGAGAGCTTGACGGCTGCTGCAGAGGCCCAGGACGCAAAGGAATTCTTACCTGGGGTCTACTCTGAGCACTCTGAACTACTTGATGGATTTCTCGCCCAGCGCAAAACTCTTGCTAAGCTCTACCGTAATCCCGAGGCGGGCGTTCTGGAGATTCCGTTCGGAGGCTTTTCGTCCGGCGCCATTTCCTTCCAAAAGTCGCTATCCCGTGGGACTGTTACAATCAACACCACCAACCCTGACCCGGCTGTGCCTCCAGTCATCAACTTTGGTGTGCTTCAAAACCCCATCGACCTGGACGTCGCCATACTCAGCGTTAAGGCGTTCCGCAAGTTTTGGAATAGTCCTACCCTTGCCGTACGCAAGGTCGTTGAAGTTGTACCTGGGGCCAATATTACTTCGGATGAGGCTATTGCAGAAGCCATACGAAACTCTCTATATGCTAGCTTTGCACACCCTAGCGGGACGGCGAGCATGCAGCCGCTGGAGCATGGCGGTGTCGTCGATCCCAGCCTTCGCGTCTACGGGGTCGACGGCCTGAGAATTGTTGACTCCAGTATCATTCCATTGATTCCGGCGTGTCATTTACAATCAACTGTATACGCTGTTGCAGAGAAGGCCTCGGATATTCTAAAGAGTTCTTGAACATGGCAAGCAGCCAATTTTGTGTCTCACAGATATAGTCGTGCTCAAACCCAGAGGCTTATCTATTGCATGTCTTTGTGTCGCAGTTGATGACATTACATTTCACTTCAGTCACTCTTACAGCAATTTTAGCAGGTTTCGGTGATACTAAACCGTGGATTTGTCGTTGTAGTAGAATAACTTACATGAAGCACATTTCGGCGTATTTGGCTGCAACAACATTGGTGGCTTCGCGACTCGCTTTGGAGAGGGATCTTATTTTGATGAGCAATCAATGAATGGTCCTTTAATAGTCCTCTATGAGTTTTGCTGAGGCAATCTTGCGGAGTTATTATTGCGTTCCGCGAGGTTCAGCGCTGCAAAAACAAAAAAAAACAAAAGAAAAGCCATGACGCAAGGTCAAATCCTTATTGCATCAGAAGGCAGAAGATGGGAGTCGCGGAGTCTGGCACTTTGCGCGTTAGTCTGCATAGCGGTATTTCCGCACAGAATCTTAGCGGAATCCAACGCTCAGCCTAGCGGGCGGTATTCCGGCAACTCTTGGCCCGCATACCGAGAATTTCCGCCAGCGCCAGCCACTCATGTCTGCGAGGAGTGTGAAGCGAGCACAAGGTATCTGCTGTTCTTGATATACGCATAGTATTTTGTTCGAGATATAAAGCCTACTCGAGCCCACGGCGTTTCCATGAAACATACCTTTCAAACCACCATTCTCAGACAATCTTAAGCCTTACGCATCGGACAAATTCCAACGCTTTCATCCGTTTATCACTAAACTCGATCTTTTAAGCTTATCAAAATGGTTAAGGTCGCCATTGCAGGAGCTTCTGGCAGTGGGTTATGTCTTTTCACTTATTCGTATTTGTCGAATGCCTTACTGACCATGAGCCCCGCGTAGAGCTTGCTCTCGAGGTTATCGACAGGTTGTCGAAAACTGAGAAGCATGAAATTCTTGGCTTAGTGCGAAGGGTAAGGAACAGTCCAATACCAATCTACGGATATGAGATCCTGGAATCAACTGTAGATGGTTGAGGCCGTGTTATCTGACGGCCCTCTAGGACCCTTCTTCATTGCCTACATTCCCAGGAGTAACATGGATCCATACTTCTTATGAAGATAAGACAGCATTGACAAGAATTCTCACTGGTACTCAAACAGTGATCTCTTTCATTGTTGCCCATGCGGACCCTGGCGCGGCGACGTCAAAGCGCTTGATTGCCGCATCGATTGAGGCAGGAGTCAAGCGGTTCGCTCCGAGCGAATGGGCAATGTGAGCATCAATGCCAGGCATTCTTCTGCCATACCTTTGTAAACGGCTGCTAAGTTGACTGTAGGGGCACCAAGTTGGACGAGGTGGTCGACTATACACCCTGGTATGCCAACAAGTTGGAGGTCAAGCGCTATCTAGAGGAAGTCAACAAGGACAAAAAGGTAACTGAGAAAATTCAGGAGAGATTCTTATTTCTGACGTGGTGATAGGTCATCGAGTACACTTTGTTCCAGCCTGGCGCATTTATGAACTTCCTAGCGTACCCTCATCAGACCGCCAAACATTACCGAGTCGACTACCCGGCACTTTTCGACTTCTCCAGAGGCTGTGGGTACATTCTGGAAGGCTCTGAAACCTCAAAAATTACCCTTACCACCATTGAAGACATTGCGGAAGTGACCGCCCGAGCGGTTGAGTTCGACGGGGAATGGCCCATAGTTGGGGGTATCACCGGCCAAACAATCACTATCGGTGAGATCTTGCAGTTGGGAGAGAAGATTCGAGGCAAGTTAGATTCCAGATTATCCAGAAAGATTCAGTCTGCTAACTAAATACCAAAGACAAACCCTTCGAGGTGGACAGATTGAAACTCGAGGACCTTGAAGCCGGAATTATCAGGACAAACTTTGTCACACCGCTAGATCTACCTGGCATGTTACCGGAAGAACTTGCAAACTTCACAAAGATGGTTGTAATTGGAGCTACTGTATCAATGACAAAGGGGGCATGGGCTGTATCTGACGAGTGGAATCAGCTGCTCCCTGACTTCAAGCCTATCGGCATAGAGGAGTACGTGAAAAGCGTCTGGGGGGACAAATGACACTTTCATGGGATTTGGAATACTTCAAGGTGAGGTTTTACTTTCATTCATGTGTCCAGATGACAGATGTTTTCACATTGTTATTTGTACGTCAAGCTCGATAAGTTAGTCAAATTTCCCAATGCAATCATTACATATAGCAACGTCTCGATGTTCAGCATTGGCCCAGCGACTACCGCGAGTCTCTAGAGGTATATATAGGCGCTACCCCGAGTAATTTCGCCAAGATTATCGGTCAGCTTTGTGGATATGGACGATGGGTTTGTCGACACTTTAAGAGGTCGGAAGGGCTTAGGTTCATTAGACCTAGAGATACACAAAGAATGGTAATGTAGCCAGTACCTAAACCATTCCATGCGCAGTTGAAGCTAGGTTTAGTCTCTTCTATCTTTCTATCTCATCCATTACAGAATAATACAACATTACAAACACACACACACATACAGGCGCACACCTTATTTGCTCTTATAATGCCTTCTTATACTGTTAAGAACCCCTACGGTATTACCTAGCTAGTAGATCACAATAAACTAAGTATAGCGTGTAGAGATGCTACTCAACAAGCACGTATCTAGATGTAGGTTGTCACCACAGGAGCAGGAGACCTAGTTATTAGATTGTAGTCCCTTCTATATCAACAACACAGGCTTTAATCGCGGTTAATCTTTAAGATTACTAGATTGTAGACTCGAATGTCGCAGCCCGCAGAACAGTCCATTTCATCAATCATCAATGGCGCCGCCCTGTCCCAAAATTCCAATAACACCTTGACCCCAACCCGGACCCCAAGCAACGGGAACAAATAACTAGAAGTACAAGGACTTAAAATTATTCGAGATCCAGTCTGAGCTGGTCTTCCTGAAGTCGTCCTTCAAACTGCCGGCCTTGTCCGCGAAGAACTGAATCAAGTTCTGACCTTGAGACCACATCGGCCAATTGGGGTACTTCCCGTTGTTACCGACATTGGGGTCCAAGTCATACAAAAAGTTAGTGTAGTAGGTCCGGATGCTTCGGGCGGCATAGTTGTCTTTAATTCCGTAAAACACCTGAACTAGGTCAGATCCGTGGAAAGTGCCGAGGATCGGGGTCCCGTAGTCGTAAGAGGCGAGGTAGGACCACGAAGGCACCTCGGGGTGCACAGTGTTGGCGAGGTTGAGAAAGATGCGACGAGTCAGTGTGAAGACCAGGTCGCCAAGGATGGCAGAGCGTTTCTTGAAGCCGGGAAAGATCTCGTTGAGGAGCCCGGTGCGGAACGGGCTGCCGCTGACGAGGGCGTCCAGGCCTCGGTCGTAGGTGTCTACGTACTCGGTGAGCTGGGCCTCGGTGGCTGAGTTGAAGTAGTAATCGTTGAGGTACGTCACAAGCTGCTCGGGAGATAACAGGTTGGGTTGGAATATGCCAAAAAGCGTGCCTTCGTCTTCCTGGTCGCCGATGATCATCGGGACTGCCGCATACTGGCCGTTCTGGATTAGAACGTCAGGACTCGCCGTAAGAGTCTTGCCGTCCGGACGGGGCAAGTATGACAGAGAGAGAGAGTTGTAGGAGAGGATGCCAGGTACCGATGTCACGGCGTTAAGGAACGTGTTGTAGTCGACTCCGCGCAAGCAGTTGAGCGTGTCTGCCTGGCCGCTGCATCCTGCAGTCGCCACAACCTTGTCGTACACGGCCTGACCCTTGGGGCAGTCGAGAGGGTCTGAAGGGACGATGCTGCCAGAGTTCATGATGGCGCCACGGAAGAGAGCCTGTCCCTTGTACGTGTTATTGCCGTTGTACAGAGCCATCTGGTCAAGGACCGAGATTGCACCGGCAGACTCGCCCCAAATGGTAACCTTGGTCGGGTCACCGCCAAAAGCGGCGATGTTGTCGGCAACCCACTCGAGGCCCATGCGCTGGTCTAGAAGGCCCACGTTGCCGGAGCCGTCTGCGAGGATCTCCTTGCCGGGCATAAAGCCGAAGCCGGCGACACGGTAGTTCACTGCGACAAAGACGAACGGCTTGCCAATATCGACGCCGTTCTGAACAAGGCTGGTACCATCGTACATGGAGGACCATCCGAGCTATCAGACGATGTCAGTAACCGATACGGACGGGGAACTCGAGTGGAAGAAACCTACCTCAAAGCCACCTCCAAAGATCCAGTAGAGAACGGGCAGCTTCGCATCTGCCTTGGTACCCTGCGGACGAGCCACCGTAATCGTGAGACAGTCCTCGGTCTGGCCTGTCACCGTCTGGACGAAAGGAAGGTTCGCAATGTCTCCCAGAAGTCCGATGAGATTGCTCTTGGCATCGGAAGAGACGACCATCTGCGGGCAAGCGGCTGCGGGGCCCGTGGCGTCAAAGGTGCCGATGTTCTCGGTCAGGCGCACGGGGGGCTTCAAGCGGAGCGGGCCGGTGGGCGGCTTGGCGAAAGGAATGCCGCCGAAGGACTCGACATTGTTCATCACGTTGCCGATAACTGTGGCCGTGTCAAGAACAACCGTTGCTGTGCTCACAGCCCTGTCTTCCAAGGGCTGGGAGTTCTCCGGAACCGCCAAGGCGGTCCCGAGAAGGGAGATGGACGAGAGAAGCGTGAGCAGCTGCATGATGGCGACGAACAACAGCCTTCAAGAATCCAGAGTGGTTGACAATTTCCAACCTTTTGCGGGTTGTAGGACTGAAGGAAGAAAGTGGTTGGACGTGAGCCGTGGCATGCACCCTGTTGATGAGCTTGGCTGAAGACGATCCAGACAAACTGCGTCGGATACCTCGACTGGAGCGAGGACCATGCAGAAGAGGACTTCCATGATCTATTTAACCACGAGCTTGCAATGAGGGTCGAGTTGTTGGCGTACACCTCTACATCCAACAGTTGGGAATGTTTGCCTAGAGAGGATGGACTGGTGGGCAATCAGCGACCCGCCGCTAGTTTGTGCACCCTTGCCGGTGCTCCTGTTGCATGGGTGGCCCGGACCTGGGTCTGAATCCGAATAGGCGCGGCTTGGCCCTGGGAAACCAGTGCAGTAGTAGGTAGCTCGACCCCGCCGCCTGAGTCGTGCTCGTCATTAGTCCAGTGCGTATCGAGGTCGTATGAACTGACTTGAGCGAGCCGGGAATGCAACATTCCCCGTGGGGTAGCGGGGTTTACTGCCGGGAGTGAAAAGATGTGTCTGGTTCGCCGTTGTGGTACGCCAAGTAAAAGAGACAGCCTTATTGGCGTAAGTCTAGATCAACATTCACATGGAAATATGCAGAGTCAGCTGGTCATCCCTTGGAGCTTCGCCTCGGTATGTCTGGCGACAGAAAAGAAAAGATGTCGCATTGCCAGCCACGCAGAGGCACGGAAGCGCATGGGGAACGAGGGGAGGGATAGAGAGATCTAGTGGAGGGACGGCGTAAGATCTTGATTTGATAACGCAGGTGACACCTAGACTAATTAATCATCAGGAACCAGGAACTTCGTCCCAATGAGGTATCAATATTCCTCTGATCTTGGACCTGAGGGTGTCAGTGCTGCAGTCTGTCCGGTCATCTAGTTTGTCCGGCTGGCATAAGCGCTCCAGACTGCTGCGCGACAAACGATGACAGGACGGCAGGCCAAGCTACGCGCCTTCAATAGTGTGGGCGGGCTTTCGTGGCCAACTCTGGGGTGTGTGGATTAATCAAAAGATGCAACCTTCAATCATCTCTCTTTCTCTCTCTCTCTCTCTCTCTCTCGCGGCGACGGTTGGGGAAGCACTTGCAGTACATGTACACGTGTGGAAAAGGGTATTCTCATGCAAAAGAAGGTCGTCTGACGTAGATCATGGCCCCAGATCCCTGCAGCGGCACTGACAACAGCCATCCACGAGACACCGTTCTTTCGGATGTCCTGTCCTACCACGGCAATGGCTCCGAGATGCGTGGGGCTCTGGATCGAGATACATGTAACTACGAAAGCATTGCAACCATTTTCGATAGCGCCGCAGACCTCTCGCATTCGACCGGCATACGAAAAAACAAAAGAAGCTCAGCAAACTCCGTTGATGCCGGGCATCCGCGGATGATGAGGGGCATATTCCACCAGTACCTTGGCTCGAAGGGAACGGTTTTCCCGCCTCGTGCACACATGATAGGGTGGCACAAACATGACACTAGCACCTTGGCGGAGTGTCTTTAGTACGAATCCGGTTGCACACCTGCCCGCAAAGGAGAACACCCCCAAAGCTAGAGGAACACGGCGAATAGACGTGAAGTTTTTGAGAAGAAGGAATGGCTTTTAAGATCAAAAAGCACAGATATAGACACACAGAAGCTAGCAACGGGCGCTAGCCAAGGCTTCGGTCGACTTCAGGCTTGACCAAACTAGGCGCATGCCATGTCTCAGGCAGAGTCAGCTTCCGTAGTGCTTCGGGCCGTATTAGGCTTGCAGCTCGCGCTGGACGTTGAACTTGAACGGATGCCTCGGGTATCACAACCAAGCTGTTTCCCTTCGCCCGCGATGTCAACGGCTCAGGGTGCACGCATATTTCGCCAAAGCCTTAGAGCTACATTCGGGATGCACATGGATGTCTCTGATGATCGAAGTTGACAGAGTTCTGTTGTGCATACAGTAGACCCCTCCAACCCGTCATGTGTGCAAGCTAGTAAAGTGGGAATTCCTCCGGGAAAGACGCACTCCCGTTCTTGGCCATTCACCGCCCAACACCGTGTTACCTACGCATTAGTAACACATCAAGCATGCCATGTGTCGAATACGATTGCGGGGACCTCCAAGTGCCGGCCTCCCCTGCATGTGGGTCGACATGCTTGCAAGATCTATCGCGGACTCCCTATACAGAAATGTACTCTCCGCTGGCTGGAGCTACTTTCCCCCACAAACCGAGCCTCCCATGGCGGCCCTGGGACCTTTCTGATCTTCTCATTTCTCTTCGGTCTCAGGCCGAGCTAGGAAACATTCGAGTACGAGAGGTGGCACCGGACTGTCGGCCAAGGCCGTATAGTCAAGGAGAGATCGCCTTGATTAACAGAAAGGGCATTGGCCTGATTGATAGGTGAATCCAACGGTTAGACAAAAGCTACATGCGGTGGCCGTCCATGCGCTCCCAGACTAGATCCGGCTGCTACGTTTAGACATTCGGACTGTGTTCAGATATTCGGGAGTCTGAGCACAATGAAGCGACTGCCACCGTGAATCTTAATTGGAGAATTGACCTCGACATCCCCCGGCCGATGGAGGGGGGGCTAGAT